ACACAGTGTTGGGGAAAGTTACTTTTATAAGTAATGCATTACAATATTGCGTTACTCCATAAAAAAGTAACTAATTACGTTACTTAGTTACTTTTTATGGAAAGTAATGCGTTACGTTACTTTTGCGTTACTTTTTAAATCTGGACAGAGCTTGCTTGTTTGTTTTTAAAATACAAAAGTTCTATTTTTGGCAAATATAAAAGCCTTTTCACACCAAAAGTGAAATGAATAAGCCTCAGGCTGAAGGGAAAGTAAATTTACGTCCGTACAGTAGAATGCAGAAGAAGAAATTTCAACACACTTCAGCAATAACAAAAGATGCGCAAATGTTTGTCTAGAGTAATTTGTGCTTATTAGTACGGTTGAACTGGATCATCGAAGGTCAGAAGCAAAGACATTGGTTAATAGAATGGGATTAAATACATAAAGGATATTTGTGTTGTTTAACATTTCATTATTGCAGGTTTGCGTCATATTCTGAGTTGCATTATTTTTATTCATTTTGAGGAATACTGAATCTGTATTGTTGTTTTTTTTGTGAGTGAGATGAATTAATGCATATTCATATTTATTTTAGAACTACAGTAACATCTTCTGATTTCTCTCAACATGGGGACAGCAGAGCTGTCAATCAATAAATTGGAAAAAAAAAGTAACTTGCGTTACTTATTTGAAAAAGTAACTCAGATATTCTCTTGTAAATTAAAAAGTAATGTGTTACTTTACTAGTTACTTGAAAAAAAAGTAATCTGATTACGTAACTCGCGTTACTTGTAATGCGTTACCCCCAACACTGAAGCTACTAATGTGAAGATGTAATCTCAAAATAAATAAATAGACAATAGATACATATATTTAGTGTTATATGAAATAAAACATGAAAATATGAAAAATAATAATAACCCGCTCCAGCACAGTAGGTGGCGGTGTTGCACTTGTTTAGTTGGTTCGCAAACCCTTCAGTGAAACCGCAGAAGAAGAGCTCGGCACAACTCGTAATAACATATTGGAGAAAAAAAACATACCATACATAGCGATTTAGAGATAAAGGAATCGCAACAATGGCCTCTGGTTTGTAAATCATGTTGACCATGTTTTTAAAATATATTGAAAAAGTAAAGAATTGTGCATCGACTTGTTATTTGTTTCTTATATGTGGAAGAGTGTTTGAATGGAGAGTTGTGATGCTCTGAAAGTAGACATGTGATATCTGTGAAAATCACTAATGTTTGCAGACGACGAGATTAATATTCTGGTCATTGTGGCAGATGTCAGCCCTATTGTGGGGCCAGCAAGCTCAACGGGAACCTCGGGTACCTTCATTTTTATGTAATGTAATTTTGACGCTAATCCATAAGATTATCTTCATTGCCCATTAAAATGTTTTTTTTCTTTTCTATTCTTTCAGTTCACTCTTTCAACATGCCTGGACTCTTTGATGGTCCTGGCAAATGCCCATTTAGTGATGTCAAGAACCAACAAACTAGCCCTCATTGCAAATCTCTATCAAAACAGGTAAACGTTTAACTGTTAATATATATTCTCATATTAATATAATGTGTCTATAACAAACACACACTAAAACTATACCGCAATGTCTCTTTTCAAGCCACTTTCTATATCAGAGTAAGCAGTGGAGATCAGGGGATGAAATATCTGCAGATAGCGATGGCAAATATGAACTTCTCTCAGTTACCAATGATTTCTTTGCAGAAGAGATCAGGAATCTCATGGACAGAAGTAACTGATTTAAAGATTTGATGTTTATTATGCAGGTTAAAGGAGTAGTTCAGCTAAAAAGGAAAATTTGCTGAAAATGTGCTCACCCTCAGGCCATCCGAGATGTAGATGAGTTTGTTTCTTCATCAGGTTTGTAGAAATGTAGCACTGCATCAGTGTCTCAGCAATGGATGCTCTGCAGTGAATGGGTGCCGTCAGAATGAGAGTCCAAACAGCTGATAAAAACATCACAGTAATCCACAAGTAATCCACACCACTCCAGTCCATCAGTTAATGTCTCAAGAAGACAAAAGCTGCGTGTTTGTAAGAAACAAATCCATCATTAAGACGCTCTTAACTTCAAGTTGTTGCTTCTGGCTAAAATACGAGTCCGTAATCAGTAATAACACTTCCTCCAGTTATAGTCTCTAGATTTTAATTTTTGGGTGAACAGTTTCTTTAACAAAACTAAATGTTTTGGTTTCATACATGTTTACTTGTGCTGGCTATTTTGATGCATTTAACCTAAAATCTAATGCCATTCTTGACTTTTTGCAGTGTTTTCATGAATGAAATTACAAGAGGATAATTATGTTTTTATGTTCTTTATTAACAGCCGAGGTCAGTGGCAGTCAGACAGACAGTCAACAGCAACATGTTAAAATATGTTAACGTGTTAAATCATGCTATAAACGTGTTAGCAATTAGCTAATGTTAGAAACATGCTAACAACATGTTCAATCTAGAAATTCTTTATATGCAGATCAGATTTTCGTGGATAAGATATGATGTTCAAACCACAATTTTCATTAATATTTGACTCTCAGACATTCATTGAATCTCAAAGGATGTGCAAGGTAAAGACATTTGCCTCACATTCTTGTGCATTGCACGAGGTTCATAGAGCGATACTTCTGTGATTTCCTAGCTGTTTTAGCGATCTCGTTTTAAATAGATCTCAGTATTTTTCAGATTTAGACTGAACTCTTATGCTTTTGCTTACAGCCGAACATGAAGTGAAATCCAGATGTGTATAGATGTGTAGCTGCTGTACTGTTTTTCAGGTGATAAAAGCTGCTGAGGATTCGACATTACAGTACATGAACTTCGTGAATGTGATCTTTGCAGCACAGAAGAAGGTGGGAATAACCGCTGAACTAGCATATTAGATTATGACTTCTTTGATGTTTGATAACGCTTCCATTCTCCTTGTTCTCAAAGAATATCCTGATTGATGCGTGTGTGTTGGACACTGACTCAGGACTGCTGCAGCAGGTATATTGTGTGTGATCACTGCTTATTTGTTTTACTGATTGTATTTTGCTGGACAATGTCCAGTTGGAAGAGCTACAGGTGATGATTCCACAAATTATACATCAATGTGTAGCAAAGTGATAACTAATTCAAATCATGGTGCACATGACTGTTCAGGCAACAGGACAGAATGCAGAAATTATGAATCTGCAAGTAATACGCACTGACAATTTCAAGGACATGAAATATCACCATACTTTCACCAGTTGATTAAAACTTTTCATAGTTTTCTGAAATGCACATTAGGCAATATTTAATAAAATTTTGCATACATTTCCAGAACACTGCATATTAAAGCAAGGTACTAGAGTTAAAGACACTGCATATAAATATGGCTGTTTTTATTTGCAGTATGCATGATGCACGTTTGAATTTTCCTTATGTAATTATTTGATTTGTTTTGAGTGTGAAACCGTTCACGCCTGTGTTTGTCTCTCAGCAGGCTTGTGACATAACTGGAGGCTTGTATCTCAGAATTCCCCAGAAGATCGCTCTCACACAGTATTTGTTGGTAGGCATTTGTGGAGTTTCCAACTAGTTTCCACGTTTATTGTATGCTGACTATATTGTTTAATATTTCAAAAGTCCTCTTGCTGAGAGTGTAACTGCTGGTTGTGTGTCAGTGGGTGTTTTTAGCAAATGCAGACGAGCGATCCCAGCTGTTATTGCCTCCTCCGGTGCATGTAGACTACAGGGCTGCTTGTTTCTGCCACCGGAACCTGATTGAAATTGGCTACGTCTGTTCAGTGTGCTTGTCAAGTATGTTTCCATCTAACCTTTTTTGCTTGTCAAATTTGGAGAAATGTTTACATTTTGTGTGAGCGTCACCACAGACACGTGTCGAATTTGTGAAAACCATAATATTGTGCAATATTATTACAATTTAAAATAGCTGTTTTCTATGTGAATATACTGTATAGTAAAATGTAATTTATTTCCGTGACCAAAGCTGTATTTTCAGCATCATTCCTCCAGTCTTCAGTGTCACATGATCTTCAGAAATCATTCTAATATGCTGATTTGCTGCTCAAGAAACATTTCTGATTATTATCAATGTTGAAAACAATTGGGCTGCTTCATATTTCTGTGGAAACTGATCTTTTTTCAGGTTTATTTGAAGAATAGAAAATCAAAACGACAGCATTTATTACAAATAGAAATCTTTAAATGAGGGCGATCACATTAACATTGACTGAATACAGTCTGAATACTGTAAACCGTTAAACGTGTCACTTACATGCTGCAGACACAAGAAACAGGCCTCGAAGGACCTTGAACTTGCTTGAAATCTAAATTTCATTTGATTTAACTCTTCCCCTTTACCGTCTTTATTGACCTTGTAATATATCAAACGATCCTATATTGCAGAGGGATTATGTTATATAACACTTTCCTCCCTTTCATTTGCCAGTATTCTGTAACTTCAGTCCAATCTGCACAACATGCGAGTGAGTCTCGTTAATATTTGTTCTGAAATGTGTCCGATAGATAATTTTTCAGTCAAGCTTTAACAAGTTGCCCTTATGTTCTTATATTTACAGGACTGCCTTTAAAATGCCACTGCCTCAGATGGCTAAAACAAAGAAGAAAAAAGTTAAAAGTGCAAACTGATCCAGTCGAACCCCGTCAGATCCAGGTTACCTCATTATTAAATGTGTGTGCTGCACATGCAAAATCCCCAGATAGTATTTTGTTGAATAGCATACTTTTTTACAGTGTCATTTGAGCTTTGGGTGGGAAATTGTTTATATATATATTTATATATAATTTGTTATGTTTATTCAAACAACATGTTTTGGTATTGTAGCCAACACTTTAAATAAGAGTAAAAAAAAAAACAAAGCCAGTGAACTACGGTGTTTAATTTTGTGTTTCAATCAAGTGGATTTCACTACAAATATGAGGTTATGTAGATTTATTGAAAAATTATTCAAAACAGTAACAGTTAATCAGTTAGGTCTCAAACTAAATGTGACCCTGGAGCACAAAAGCAGTCATAAGGGTCAATTTTTCGAAATTGAGATTTATACATCATCTGAATAAATAAGCTTTCCATTGATGTATGGTTTGTTAGGATCGCACAATATTTGGTCGAGATACAACTATTTGAAAATCTGGAATCTGAGGGAGCTTACTGTTCAGTGCACTGATGTCAGACTCATTTTGGATAATAAAGTTTATTGTTAAATATACCCTGCCTCCATTACATATCTCTGTCACGTCATTATAAGTGTTTGATCACCACATTTGAGTGATGATTGCAAAAAATGGGTTTAGGTACTGTATAAGCGACTTAAGACTGCTTTTGTGCTCCAGGGTCACATATATTGTAACACAACATGTATAGTATATATACACATCACAGTACAGTTTTCATTACCCAACAGTGCAGAAAATCTTCACAGCAGTGACTAACAAAATGCCTTCCTTTCCTGTTAAAGTAACCAGTTATTGGTGGTATTTCTGTGCCCTATTACTAACCACAGACCAACTTCATCTCCACTGAGAACATAAAGAAAACTGCATTAGAGATGACGGTCTTCTGCAGCAAAGAACATTTAGATCTGCGCTTTGGTTCAACACTCCGTCAAGAAATGGTCCAAACAAAATAATCCTTGTGCTTCGGTCCCGTGATGCCATTATAATGCACTGAAAAAATTTCTAAACTACATCAGGGGGGAAAATAAACATATACTCAATATGTTGCTTATGTGATGTGGGTCATACCGGTATATAGCAATAGAAAGAATGCTTGTATATGTATTCATTTAGCAGACGCTTTCATGCAACGCGACATATAAATCAGGAATACAAACATGCACAAGAAAATCTGTTCAGATCTGTCAGAGATGTTCTGAAGAAGGCATACCTTTGTTAAGAGACTGGCCTGAATCTTAGTGTCCTTCTCAAACTCCTCTTCAGCATCCAGAACCAACACCGGCAGCTTCGCCAGGTGCTCGAAATGAACCCCGTGTAGAGAAACACACTGCTCTCATCCGCACTGATTTATACACTAAATATCTAGAATCATCAGCATAAGTAATATGCAACGTACTTTGTATTATTCATCCAGTTGTGATTTATTGTAGGATACACATAAATGCTGAATACTGTTGTGGTTTATTAAAATATTGATTTAAACACACATGTATACATAAAAAAAAATACCCATAAAATGGTTCATGATTCATGCAAAATGAACAAAATTAATCATGAATGGTATTGATTGAATACACATAGGGAAATAATATTTCGTTTACAGTTCAAAACAGCTCTAAACAAATATGTGTGTGGATTTTGATGTGAGAGACAACAGGAGATGGACTTTTTCACTGGAGGAAGCGTTATTATGGATTATTTACTCCTGTTTTGGCCAGAAGCAACGTTTTTAAAGACATCTTGATGGATTCGTTTCTTACAAACATGCAGCTTTTGTCTTCTCCAGATGTTAACTGATGGACTGGAGTGGTGTGGATTGTTTTGATGTTTTATCAGCTGACGGCACCCATTCACTGCAGAGGATCCATTGGTGAGCAAGCACATGCTAATATAACTAACAAGTGAGAGGACTCACTTTGTACTCTTGTTGATGAGCCAGTCTTCATGTTTTGTGTGGAGTTTCTCGAGGTAGTCAAGTATCTTACATCTTATTTACTACAAAATATCTGAGTTACTTTTTCAAGTGTACTTTGTTTCCCATGTATTGACTGACAGCTTTCGTGTCCTCATGTTGAGAGAAATCAGAGGTGCAGAGGCGCTGTGTGAACATGATGCTACTGTAGTTCTAGACTAAATGTCAACATGCATTTACTCACCTCGCACCAAAACAGATTCAGTATCCCTCAAAATGAATAAAAAGTCAAATGCAAACTGACACGACGCTAACATGTTAAATAACACAAATATCCATTATGTATTTAATTCTATTTTATTAACCAGTATCTTTGCTGCTGACCTTCGCTGATCAACCATACTATAAAAATGACTTTAGATAAACATAACATTTGTGTTTCTTTTCTGAAAAGAGAAAAATGAGGCCAAGGCAGATGAGAAAAAGTAACGTAACGCATTCCTTTCCATAAAAAGTAACGAGACCGCAATTAGTTACTTTTTAGGAAGTAACGCGATAATGTAACGCATTACTTTTAAAAGTAACTTTCCCCAACACGGTAAATGTCTAAATGTAAATATCATATAGACTTTAGTGAACTTATTTAACGTACTTTCTTGGAGCTTGACATAGCCAGAGTAATCTTGATTTTGGATGTCGGATGAATCGGATGTTCACAAAACACACCCTTATCAACTTTAACACTAAACTAACACCGACAGCCAGGCTGTTAATGGGTATGTGCCAAATTAGATGAACATGACTTATTTAACTACATTACGTGTCTCATATAACCAGTATAAACATGAACAATGTGTAAAAGAGAGAAAAAAAACTATATTAATCAAAACATACCAATGTACCTTCGATCGAGACGATCTTTATTGCATTGCTTTTACTCATGTGGCTGCTCGCGCGGTGAAGAACAGAGCTCGAGAAAGGCGTTGTATCGCTCTCATACTCATCCCTATGTATCCTATAAAATAATATTTACATCATGTATCTATAGGACCGTTGTTGTTGTTGTTTTTTCACCAAGCATCTCAGCAAAAAACGTGCTTCAGGGTGAGGAATGTTTTAGTTTCAAAATAAAAGTTTCACCTTTTCCCTTTGAAAATTACCAACTTAAAAACATAGATGTAAAAAAGAAAAAGTGCACCTTTTGTAAAAAGTCTAAAAATACAAATAATGCAAAACACAGTTCAGTTCGTAAAAACAAAAAGTAAAACGTTGAGAAAGTATTAACGAATAACCATTTGTGTAATTTAAAATGACATTTGGGAATTTTTACTAACATTCATTGGCTATAACCTAAATATTAACAAGACGAAATGCTTACGAAAATGATTGTGTACATGGTAGAAAGTCATTATTGTGACTAGAAATAAAAAAAGGAAAAAATAAGATGAACCAGATGCTTCGATTATTAATCGTGAAATACTGCTTAAAAGTCGGAATATAAATCTCTTGGGATTGACCTACAACTGAAAAACGTCTTGTAACAATCTTCACGGTTGAATATGCATTCACATAGAAATGGAAAAAAAAATCAAAAATAACATTTGCCTTCAAACTTGTACAAAACAATAATAATAAAAATAAAAAAGTAATCTCGATCCCTTCCCCCAAACACATCTTACTCAAACATTTTAAAAGCACTGACTAAAAACGCTGGTTTTACTTTAACTTCCATAAAAACTCAACTCTGATGTTTGTTTTATATCCCAATCCGTCACAAAGACATGCTTATAAAGGCTACAGTGTAATACTGACAACAGAACAAACACGAAGAGAAGATCAAGAGTTTTCAGGGTGACGACTCCTACGAGCTTCAGGAAGCACAGCGGAGACGTTGCAAAGACAATCAGCAATTCAGACTCCAAAAAGTGGACAGGAAGAAATCAAGGCTTTCTATAAAATGCATTAAGGCGGACCGATATGGTATTCATATCAGTGTCTATCTATCCTTGCTGCCTAGTTTCTCGATAAGGTCCTGCAGGGGCGCCAGCTCTCTGCGATCGATGAGATTGAACTCCTTAAAAAAATAAAAATAAAAATTGCAATCAGTTCAAGAAGAGTACTGTCCAAACTATTTAGCAATAGTTATTAAGAAAAATCGACATAGATTGCATGCATTTTATCAGTTCATGCATTCTCCGGGATTCGAATAACCTTCGCTGTTGTCTTCTGAATAAAGAAAAATGCTATATAAAAGAATCACACAATTTGTAATGTTTTACGTGTTATTAATGCACTGACCTGTACAAAGAAGATAAAATGCTTGAAGGAGGTGTTCAGATGAGCCTCCTCCTGAAGCTGCATGACCGAGTCAAAATGTTGGTGGTAAATATGAGCATAAACCCTGAAGAGACGCTTCAGGATAGTCTTCGCCACTGACGTGAAGTTCTTTGGGAAAGGAACGCCTGGAAGGAGTAACAAGTTGATAGGAAAAGGTTCTTTCTATGACAGAGCCTGTGTGAGAAGGTTACACTGCATAACAACTCATAACAAACGGAATCAAACAAACCGATCTTAGACGGGAAGAGAGTTTCATCGTCCAGCTGATCCTGAACCCAGGTCATCAAGTAGTCAATGTACTTGGGAGCAGAACACTTGATGGGTTTTTTGATGTTGGTGCCATCCGCCCAGTGATATTCATACCTATTCATTCATGGAGAAAGCAGGCGATATAGCTAAAAAATGTATCAGCGATATAATGTTTCATATCGTTCGGTATCGATAATTATTGACATTTTTATAACCTTTTTTAAAACAAAGAGCAATTTATTTTACATTTAACCACTGTATTTTTAAATTAACTCAATTTATTGAGACAAACAGCAAATATTTTTGTTTTAACAGTCAAAAACTAAATAAAAATTACACCACATACACAAAATAATGTTCTTTTTAGCAGCATCATATGACCCCTTTAATACAAAGAGCTGAAGCACCGATCGCACAGATTGCCTTTAAAAACATAAGAGACGCAGTGAAAAGGAATAAACCTCCACAGATTCGTGACGTGTTTTCTAAGTTTAAATTGTTTTAACTTTGCATGGCTTTCTATACATCTCTTGTGTGACGCGCGA